TCTGCGCTCTGCGACTCCAATGCTCCTTTTGCCATCAGCCAGCTCCACGCTGTGTTTCTGTGGTTGAAAGGTATCATCAAAGCTCACAAACTTTGATACATCCATGACGATGTGTGAGGTTGCCCCTGCATCCGCCATTAGACCTTTCATATCCACACCATGGCTTGGCAGTATTTATGCGTTCCCTTCACTCATCCGGAAAGCATACTCCTTGTCGCCTTCCTCCTTGGCGACTTTCCGCACGTCGTCCCGCATTTGTTTCCGTCTGCAGGCCGCGTCCCGATGCGTGGTGCTTTTACAGTGACTACACCACTGTCTGCGTTGACATACTCTGGCTTTATGTCCTCTCAGGCCACATCTGTAACACACAATGGGTTTCATTCATGAAACGTGAGCAGAAGGAATTTGTGTGTAAACTGTTCGCAGATGGAAATTTACGTGCATGTCCGCATTCATCAATATTTTAGTAGCTCCGATCTTTTCGTAGCTACTAACAAAATCTACTCCTGCTCCTGACCACTCGTAGTGCTTGTGTAAATTTAGTAAAGCACATAAATATTGCTTGTCACTATTGGAAATTACAATTTTAATTCGTATTGCGCTCTGTTATGTACAGAATACACAGATGCCTTTGAAACACGTAATCTAAACATGACAGAATATTACAAATATAACACATTTAGTTAAATTAGTTGGCAATTAGCAGGTTTAAGATCCAGATTAGGTTCATGATTGTGAATTATCTATGTAAATCGACTCAATAGATTACACGTTCTTTCTACATGTTGAATGATGATAATAAAAATATAGGCTAATAATAAAATCACAAAAAGGTTGTAAACCTTATGGTCACTACCATATCTGGGTCACTCAGGTGGTGTCAATTCTAATTAAACCTCCCACAATATAAAAGGCCTTCAGTCTTAGTTAATGGTAACAATGGCTGAACTTGCACTTTTGCATGATTTGGCGCAAGTCGCTATTTGGCGAGAAAGGCATTTCAGGGATAGGGCAGATATGTTGGCTGAGAGTGATGAATGGTTGATTAGTCGTTTCCGACTACCGAGACCAATTCTGTTGCATTTATGCAACATTTTGGAGCCTAATCTGACAAGGCCAACAAAACGAAGAAATGCCATCCCTGCACATCAGGTACTCTCTGTGCTTGGTTTTCTAGCCACAGGGACCTTCCAACAGGAGATTGGTGACAGGTCCAGCATTTCCCAGCCATCTATGAGCCGCATCCTACCTGCAGTGCTCAACGGTATCATCAAACTAATGCCAGAGTACATTCAATTTCCCTATGGCGCACAACGGCAGGTAGACGTGATGCAGGGATTCAGCGCGATTGGAAACACGGCAGGTGTCATCGGTGCCATAGACTGCACACACGTACGCATCAAAGCTTCATCTGGTGATGCATTTGCTTACATAAACCGGAAAAACTTTCATTCCGTGAATGTGCAACTGATCTGTGATGCTAAGTGTGTGCTGTTAAACGTTGTGGCACGGTGGCCTGGTGGGACGCATGATAGTTACATCCTGCGCAATAGTGCAGTTGGCACACGTTTGGAGGATGGAGCTGCGAGGGACTGCTGGCTTATTGGTAAGAATATAGCCTGCCTAAAATTGCATACATTTATATGTAGACACTTACCCTTCTATATCCATAGGGGACAGGGGTTACCCACTGACGCCGTGGCTGATGAAACCGCTGACCAACCCGCAGACACCACAGGAGCTGGCATATAATGAGGCGCACGCTGCTACTCGGGCCGTTGTAGAGCGCACCAACGGGGTCTTGAAGGCAAGATGGATGTGTTTGGACAATAGAGATGGCACCCTTCTTTATGCAACCACGAAGGTGTGTACAATAATATTGGCCTGCTGTGTCCTGCACAACGTGGCCATTAAACAGGGCCTTCCCCTGCTTGAAGTCCGCAATCCAGGAGAACGCGTACCTCCGGAACCAGCTCTTGGACCTCGAAATGCGGCTGCTATACGAACCCGTCAGCGACTTAAAGAGCAATTTTAAGGTAAGTGTTGCTTAGACAGGTACTGAATAAGCTATGAACGTTTTAGGCCGACATTCTTTGCAAAAAGTTATTTTTATTTGTTTTGTATTATATTTATATCCAACATCCTGTTTCAGTAGGCTACATCAGTTCATTTTAATGTCATTCTCTTGAAAAATGTATACAAATAGGCTATATTTATTTATCCGAATAAAAGAGAGTAGCTTGATTATCTTGTTTAAGTGTTTTTCCCAGGATAACCAGACATCACACAATCCTGACAAAATTACACTTTATATTTGAGGGTGCAAAAGTGCCTCGCAGATTCCCTTCAAGCTGGTGTTGATTTCTTGTAGGGATGTGTTAATTTGCTGAACTACTGTAAGTAAAGCCTCTTGGTTTCTCAAGACCTCATCCGTAAGGACAGCTGGATCACAGCCTCTTCAGCCTCAGTGTCTGGGTTCAGCAGGGGCAGCAGGAGCAGCAGGTGGTGGAGCCACGAAGGAGCATGTGCCAGCTGAAAGAATTATTTGAATTCATTCATTCATCTTCTAACCGCTTCATCCTCTTGAGGGTCGCAGGGGGGCTGGAGCCTCTCCCAGCTGACATCGGGCGAGAGGCAGGGTACACCCTGGACAGGTCGCCAGACTATCGCACGGCTGACACATAGAGACAATTTAGAGTTACCAATTAACCTAGTCCCCAATCTGCATGTCTTTGGACTGTGGGAGGAAGCCGGAGTGCCCGGAGAGAACCCACGCTGACACGGGGAGAACATGCAAACTCCACACAGGAGAAGGGATAGAACGCCCGGGATCGAACCGGCAACCCTCTTGCTGTGAGGCGAGAGTGCTAACCACCATACCACCGTGCCGCCCTTATTTGAATTATGAATTGAATTATTTCACTTTGTTTTTTTGTGGCTTTTTGATCATTTGAATGAATAAATCTGATTTGAAAAATGTTTAATTTACATTGGCTGCAGACTGAATTATTTGGAGCTGTATAAAACAGAGCTTTAGGCTATTAAGATTCAATTAATTCGAAGACGATGCATACATAACTGCTATATGTTACAAAAAAATAAATGTTAAATAGCTCTACATTCCGACAGCCATCACTGATTTAGAGTTTATCCATTACGCACAAAACAACTCTGGTTTCCCATTCCCACTTCATTCAAAACCCCACAAATGGATCTTCTTTTTGTTTGGTGACCACTACGCTATCAGTGATGATTTTCATAATGTATTATGATACAACACCTTACCGTCTGGGTTTGATGTTGACTCCAGTGGAGGCATGTCGCTGTCTCCATCAGGAATAATTCCTGACAGAGAGGTCTCCCCAATTATGCCAGCGATGCGCTCGTCTGTAGCAGATACTGTAGTTGTGACTGTGAGCCTCCTCCTCCTGTGGCTGCTGTATTTTTTTTGTGTGTGCTTATGCGTTTCTTTGCCTCCAGTTTCTTATCAAACCATTTACGCTACACCTTTGACACCTCTGGTTCTTTGTACTACTGAGACAACATTAACAGCATCTGTTACCTCCATCCAGGCCTTCGCTTTGCCTGTCCCTGTCACACCACTACTAACTGAAGAAAATAAAATGTTTTTTCTTAAGTCCACTTCACCCAAAATTATTTCGATCTCCGCTTCGGAAAAATTCTTTTTTCTTTCTCTCTCTCTTTTTGTTTGCGCCATGACTGACAGGTCAACTGGATGCACCTACACCTTCTTATGTGGTGGTCATTTGCTATTCATGGGCAGGGATTTATGCTAATTGATGATTACCAGGAGCGCGCTGTCACTTTACGATGGATTGGCATTCATGATCATACACACGTGTTGACGAGCGTGGCGTTCCTGAATCTGGAGTAGGTTTTTAGTAGCATAGGCTTTTATGTGCATATCTACACACAGATTTACTCACTTTTCATGAATGAGACCAAACGTTTGCACTTTTGGCCCCACGATCACTCGAACTTGCCGGAGTGGGTTTCACATTTGGCTGTATTCGCGCCCTCATTACATTGTCCTCTGACGCCGGTGCGCACATTTTTTCCAGTGTCCTCATAGCTTCGTAGTTTGGTTTTGAATTCAGCAAAAGACATTTCCACCTCACTCTGAGTAACATGAACAGCGAATGGTTTGAAGGATTCAGGCAGTCCCTTCAAAATCATTGCCACTTTCCAGCATAATAGTCTCTCAAAGTCTGTAGCGCTTCTCGGCCATTGTCCACTGCATCTCTCATTACGAGTGACAAACTTTTAGTATCCAGAAACTGAATTAATTCTGCATATGCCTCTGCATTTTTCTCATCGTCTTCCTCACCTTTGGCAGGCTCGATTAAAATGGTGACCTCTAGTCCTTGCAACCGAAGAAGAAACTTTGTCTCCCACAGTTCGTAGTTCTTTTCATCTCCGTCAAATACTAGCCGTGACCATTGGCCACTTGACTCGGCAACCCGTCTTTGCATGGCGCTAGCTTAGCATGCTAATTCACCGGACAAGCTGTACATCGCAAATTTTCTCTCGGTGGTAGATTGCTGGAAAAACTCTCCAGGTAACTCTGGGCCCATAACCTGTTAGTAGAGAATCTCTACTAGAGATGATCTGCTCAACGATCCTTGCGTGCGTACCTAGTGCTAGACCGATCATAAATTGTGGAGGAATAAACGCACACTGGAGTATCAGTCTGCGACTGGAACTCACTCCTTCTGTGAAGGAACTTTTTATTTATGCGCACACTCATCTGACACACATCACTTGTCAATTTCAGCACACCTTATTGGCCATTACTGTTCACCAAACAACATCCACAATAACCTCTGTAGAACGCCATGACTGCAAAAATAAAGATTTACTGTAACATAACTGAGAGTACATTTTCTATGTATGTTAACAAGCGAGGTGGCTAACAGCTGACCCAGACTTTTCAAGTTGACAGGATGTGACGTTGCATCCTTTCTCGATGTGGGCGCGGTTTCTCGTGTGCCTGGCGGAGGGGATGTAAACAGCTAGCATGCCGACTAGCAGCCAGCATCGGCGCAGATTTCAGACCCACACCCGATGCCGGTAAGCTCATCTTAGTTAACCGACTGTTGGTTCTGATGTGAAGGAGGAGGTCAACATCGTTTCTCGGAGCGAAGTTGTGTCTTTGTGGAACAGTAGCTAACTTGGCTAAGTTAGCTAGGAGCGCTAGCGTCAGGTAAGCTAGCTCTGGGAGTTGTGCCACAGCAGAAAGCTGCTTAATGCCAACAGTCTGCATGTTTCTGTGTGTTTCTGCCACGTTTTAACAGATGTGAATATTGGTATGAAGGACTGTTGTTATGCTAATGTTGTTAGCAGGAAGTACAGACAGTTACAACATCAAGTTATCACTGTAATCAGAGTGACTCTTGTGGTTTGTTATGTGAGTGAGTGGAAACTTAAGCAGTTGTTTAGCTGACTTATGACCGCCCTCACTGACTGCTCCCTGTGCTGTTTACTGACAAACACCTCTCCCCCTCAGCCACACAGTCTGATGAACTCACGCACACATTTTCACACTTTTATTCCCTCCCCGTACTCTCATATTAACAGATAAACTGGAGTCCTGCACTCCTGATGAGAGAGATAAGGTGGGGCAAGGTCACCTGACAGCATCAGTCTGTAGCTCAGAAGACAGCAGTAGGTCCTGATGTCCTCACTGATAATAAAGATTACACTCAGTGGTGGAATGCAGAGATGGGGACTCGAGTCATTGTGACTTGGACTCGAGTCGACTCGAGTCGCTGTTTTGATGACTTGTGACTTGACTTGACAAAAAATAAAAGACTAGAGACTTGACTCGGACTTGGAAGTTAAAGACTCGGGACTTGACTTGACTTGAGACACGATGACTTGAATGACTTGAGTGTTATTCACATCATGTTGTAGGTTAGAATATGAAATTAATAAATTAATTTAAAAAATAATGTCGATTACCCGGTAGGAGCGCAGGCTGAGAATGGCGTTGTCATGATTGGATCACTAACCTGTCAATCAGTCATGCCCTCTATACGTACCTTAAGTGTTTATTGGAGAAACAGGCCCTCTTATATCAGATAGGAATCAACATGTCAGCGGGAGGGGTACCGAGAGTCATAGTCTTCGGCTTTCGAAATTACCATTATTACGGCAAAAGACGAACAGCACAGTGCAAGACATGCGGCATAAACATCTCGGACAGCCAGGCGACAACTTCAAACTTTGTTCGTCATTTGAAGAGCCATTCTGTCCAGTAAGTGCTTGTCAATTAGCTAATATTATCTGGTTAGTAGGTAGTTAGCTAACATTAGCTTGATACGATACGGGGGTGGGTGGGTGGGTCGGTTTGGTGGAACTTGTTTTTTAATTTATTTGCTAACATTAACCCCAGAAAACGTGAGCGAACATTCCGACCGGTTCATCACAAGACCGGCTGTACGTTTTATGAACGAGCAACACAGGGTTAAATGAGCTAAATGGGTGATTCTGACAGTTACTTATATCTTGTCTTTTCACTTTATTAAGATCAGATTCTGCAGGTAAAATTACAATAATAAGGTGACTTGACTTGGACTTGACTTGACCTATTACAGGACTTGACTTGACTTGACATAACCTGTGACTTGACTTGACTTGCCCAAGAAAAAATGACTTGGGACTTACTTGAGACTTGAAGGTTAAGACTTGAGACTTACTTGAGACTTGCACATGTGTGACTTGGTCCCATCTCTGGTGGAATGTAAGAAAGTACATGTCCTAAAGTACTGTGCTCAAGCATAAATTCAAGGTACTTGTGTTATTATTTTACGCAACTTTCACCTTCTCCATCTCAGAGGTAAATATTGTATTTTTTACTGTATTACATGTGTCTGACAGCTTTTTCAGATGACAGTTTTTCATCCCCTTCCTGTTCAGTGAAAACCATTTATCTCCAGGTGTGTTGCTCTTGAATATTTGTGATAAACTGAAGGATGAAGTGTTCCTTGTTTGTTGAGTAGGGGTGTGCGATATGGCCCTAAAATAATATCACAATATTTCAGGGTATTTTTGCGATGATTATATTCTTGACAATATGACAAATTAGTAAAACAAATATATTCTATTGCTGACTCAAGGAAATAGAGTTGCAACAAAATAAGTGATATAGTTTTATATGTTAACCTCTCAGTTTAGCTTCAAATATTCAGTAAAAACTAAAGAAAAATGATCACTCAATTCTTTAGTTTGTAAACAACAGTAACTCAGAGTGAGATTCAGATTCTGTATGCAATAATTTTAGTTCAACAAAACAAAATCTACCACAAATTACACATGTAAACAGTTCCCAAATACAAAAACTGTATACATGATACACGATTGAGTTGTTTTTTGTCCACTTAGACCTTTATGCTTGGCCATTTCTCCTCTAGTCATCACGCTGTAACCTGTGACAGGCTGTTTTGCTACCATAACTATTGCACATTCACATATATGTAGTTTTTTGTCAAGCCGCGAGCATCTTGTAGGTTTACATTACCACAGGTTTAATCACTTGACGACCTGTGTGCACGCGACGAGAGAGGAGAGGGAGAGACACTGTGCTGCTGCCAGAGGAGCCGCTGAATGAGTTCCCTCTGATTGGTAAGTCGCTAAAAGAGAAGTCCAGTACTGTTCATTAAACATTCAGGACGCCACAGTTTATTCCATGGTACTGAAGCTACTCTTCTTTTTGGAACTACCGCGGAGTCACTAATAATTTTGCTTTCAGCCATGCTTGTTGTTGCCGTGCATTACAGTATAGGCCCGTTTCCACTGAAGAAGTTCCTGGTACTATTTAAGGGGCAGGAACTACTACAGGAATGTCCTCTCGCTCGGCTCTCTCAACCGCCGTGTCTCCACTGAGAGAGCAGAGTAGGAGGAAGGTTCCTATAAAGTTACCGGGCTCTGGATGTGATGTAATCGTTGCGCGACCATTTTGACCGGGGCGACATAGTGGTGTAGGGATGCTGTTAGCTGTTAGCCGATAGCGGTGTCTGTAATAACTCACTAAACTCACAAAGTGGCCCGTGAAAAAAATATTTTCTCCAGCGGATGTCTTAGTTACAACATGATTGAGCTAACTGAAGTAGGTTCATATCATGTCTGACAACGGGAGGCTTTTAACAGATGACGTCCTGATGTTAGCTTTGCTGCTGCTGTTAGCTGTCCCTGTCAGCTGATGCTTTCTAGACATTGTGATTTCCCAAAACTGAATAAATACCACACATAGCAACACAAAACTGCTTTGCTAGCTCAATCATGTTTTTCACGGACCGGTTATTGAGTTTGTTTACGTGGCGGTGGAAGCTATGAACGAGCTAACCCTTGTCTGCTGAGTTTTAAAAATGCTGGCTATTTTGTTGCTTTCTGTTGACGTCACATTCCGCCTTGAGTATATCCAATCAGCACCAAGTAATCCCCAAGCCCCAGCCAGGAGTTTTTTGGGGCCGTTCTGAGTACCTACTCCGAGGCAGGGACTTGTTTAGCCCCTGTAAAAGTTCCGGAACTCTGTCCTTCGGGG